AAACAGTACAGAGACAGTGAGTGAATACTTTGGCTATAAATTAGGTAGTGAGTACACAGAAAGTGTGCTTCGGAATTCGGAAAATTGAATTGAATTGAATTGGATGAAGCACGTGAAGATTATACTATGAAAAAAGAATGTATTTAAAAGTTGTTAATTAAACTGCTAAGCAAATAAGCTACTCAATTCAGGAGGCATTTGAGCGCAAGAAGCTGCTGTATGCCAACCTGGCAGCTGAGGCGGAGGACAGAGGCTGGAAGATCAAGGTGCGCCCGGTGGAAGTGGGATGCAGGGGCTTTGTTGCCAGTACAACAGCAAAACTGCTTAGAGAGATTGGGATCAGAGGACAGGCGAACAGCAGGCTATAAGAGAATTAGCTAACACTGCTGAGAGGACCAGACACTGGTTCCACTCTTTTCCCCTCTGCTCTTCTTACCTTTTCTGGGAGGCAGTGGGGAGGTAGAGCGTACAGTCCGTTCTGGAGGGGAGGTGTGAGAAGCCAGATCAGGCGCTCCCCTCTGCTCTCTCCTATCTTATCTGACTTACTTGTATTACTTCTCTCTATCACCTTTTCTGTTCCTTTTGAAGAAATGAGGCTCCATAAATGTTAAAGACGTAAGTATCTCTCAGTTGCATTGTATAGATAGAATAAACTGTAGAAAACTAAACAGCAGAAATAGAACTGGAACTGATTTAATAGAACTGGAACAAAGAAATGTTCTCGAGCTAGCCCTGGCTTGGGACCTTCCAGGTGTCACACAAACCAATAGAAAGTGGCTGTATGAACGTCTGCTATTCCACGCTGTCAGTACTGACTTACTCTCCCCAATAAATTTTAAATAGAAAAGCACATCAAACCTTTGGAGGTGAATAAGTAAATTTTTCATATTCATGTTCAAATGCTTTTAGTAGTACAGTGGATGTTCTTTAAGTAATTAACATTTAAAGTGTGTGTCAGTGTGTGTGTGACTTCACGATCCCTTGTCCTTCATGTTTCTCTGTGTACCCTCTGTTCTGTGTAAGTCTGTGTCTGCATGTTTGAGTTTACCTCTGTGTCTTTCCGACACATCACTATACTGTCGGCATCAGGACCAGCAGTCAACCTGATGATCTTCATTATGACTGAGCTCAGTAAAAACAAGACCACACACAGCAGATCTGTGTCAAACTAACTAGCCATAGCGCTCAGATGTCCTCTTCTGTCGTGGGCTTCGCAATAATAACTCCCACTATGTCAAGTCTGAAGTCAGTGAAGTTTCCTCATGATGCTTCTGCTGAAGTCTTCATTCTCCTTGTACCTGGTATAATTAGCTGCTTTGTTAGTATTGCTAAAGAGTCTGAACTGCTCTGTGTGGGGGGAAGCTTTGGAGCATCTGGGGGACAATATGAGGAGAAACAAATTAATATGAGATCAGAGTTTGTTCTCTTTTTTCTTTCTAGATGCCAATTATGCTTAAGTAAAGGCTGTGGAGGACCAGGAGTTGAGCTCATCAAAATAAAGCATGTATGGATTAATAATTATTTGTACTGTAAAAAATGCATTAATGACTTAATTTACTATAATTCTCTTTATTTAGTAAAATAACTAAACTATGTAAATGATTAGCAAAGATTTAGGGGCGCATTTATACATAGAATGATAAAGATATCTCTCAAACATCTGTTAGGGTGTTAATAAAACCTCTGTCCCTGGATTAAACTGGGATGTTACTGCATTACATTAAGAAGCTCCTAAATAACTGGCTCATCCTTGATGTAACTCTTCATTCAGAAACTTGGATAAAAAATGCTGTCTTCATTGTAAAATGCATCAACTAATTATTTATTGGTAAGTATTAATTCATGAAAAGCTTTATCTCAATGAATACAACTCTCCTGGCCACCCACTGAACCATCAATCAAAATTGTGCTGCTCAAAAAAGTTAAGCAACATTTAATCATCACAGTACAACACCAAATCATTTCAACTTTAGAGATATCATTGTGTCCAGTTACAAAGCATAAACCATTGTGAATCCATAGTGGTGTACAGTCGTGGCCAAATGTTTTGAGATTGACACATATATTGGTTTTAACAAAGTTTGCTGCTTCAGTTTTGATGATAGCAATTTGCAGCTAATCCAGAATGTTATGAAGATGATCAGACGGATTGCAAAGTCCTTCATTGCCATGAAAAAACCCATTTCCACTGCATTTCATTGCTGCCATAAAAGGACCCGTTGAGATCATTTCAATAATCTTCTCGTTACCTCGGGTGAGAATGTTGATGAGCACAAGGCCGGAGATCATTATGTCAGCTGATTGAGTTAGAATAGTAGATTGGATGTGTTAAAAGGAGGGTGACGCCTAAGATCATTGTTGTTCCTGTTCACCATGGTTACCTGCAAAGAACCACGTAGCAGCATGCCAGGGCGAATTGGAGAGGTCAACACTGCACGTATTGACTCTTTGCATAAATGTGATGTAATTGTCAATAAAAGCCTTTGAAACCTATCACGTGCTTGTAATTACACCTCAGTACATCACAGAAACAACTGACACAAAGATCTAAAAAGACTGAAGTTGCAAAATTGGTGAAAACTAATATTTTTGTCATTCTCAAAACATTTGGCCACAACTGTAGTAGTAGTGTTATACTGTGATGACTGCAGCAATTTGTGTAATATAACCAAAAGCAGAGAAAATATGCATAAAGATGTCCAAAAAGCTCATGAATAAGGAAAAAGAATCTGTTGGGCCTGGGTACTTTTACCCCTCACCGTGAATGTTTGAGTGCAGTTGCTTAAATTTGATCTGAAATTACTTTTCTATGCTTCGCCCGTCTTCCTCTCAACCTTTGAGTCAATTTCTTTAACAATAAAGTTTAATAAATTGGTTCATTTCATACACAAAAAATGTACAGAAGTGTTTTAGCAGTTGAACTCTCCAGTTCAATATGTGAAATTGTCATTAAGTCAAATTGGTGATGGAAACATTTAAACATTTTTGCCAGTTAGCAACAATCTGCCGACATCACTTGAAAGAAATACACAGATACACCTGTGTGACTTCCCTTTAATGAATATTAACATGAAGTTTTTTGTTCCGTTTTTCATCCCAAATCCATTTCGAGTTTCCCTACATCAGTCTACAGTTGCTTATAAGCAGATGTTTAGTTTATTATACTTTTAGATGAGAAGTTCAGGAAAAGATCAACAAAACGTTTTCTCTTAAAACAGATTAGTCGTGAGCTGAGATTACCAGCTTTTTCCCTTTCAGAACAAATGCAGAAATCCTTCGTCATCAGACCATCTACTGGCGCAGCGTTAGCTTAAAAAAAACAAAAACAAAAAAGCCTTTTCTGAGTTTTAGGAGTCAAGATAACTACATACAAAAGTACTTTTGGCTGTTTCCTTGGTTCCCAAAGGATCCCAGCAGATGGATCTGCACGTTTAGTTTGGCACAACCATCCGTTAAATCTGGATTTGGGACCAGCATGAGTGGTACACTAGCAATAGCTGCTGAATTTTATTTTATTTTTTTATCTTTTATGTGCAAGACAAATGTGTTAACTCCTAAACTATGTTAACAATGTACACTACTGACACCGTGATTCTGTAATAACGAAGTATTGATGTGAATAAATAATTATTTTTTGGAAGGCTTTGTACAGTTACGGTGCCAGACTCAAACCCAACTTGCCAATAAAGAAAGCGATCACAATTTTTTGGGTGGCTTGGTTGCCGTTTTCTATATTATTGTGAATATTTCAAAATCACAATAATCATGAAGAAAACAAACCCAAACCTAACCCCCACTACTGTACGTGCATAATAAACACACAGTTGAGCTTGCCATAGGCCTAGATTCTGAGCACAGCCTGAAGAAATTGACGAGCTACATTTATTTCGGATATGATGCAAAGCAAACAAAGGCAAGAAATCAAACCTCACAGCTCGAGATGAATTTTAGTTCATAATTTTTCATATTAAAACTGTCTTTATTAAGTTAATCTCTAATAAAATAAGAGGAAAACCAGAACACAGCAGAAGCCAAAAAACAAAAAACAACAAAACAAATTGGAATGTACTTCAGTAAAGAAAATAAAAGCTCCAGCTGGTCCAACAGGGGGGCTTTATTTCAACCACAGTCAAATAAAGCACCGCTTTTATATATATATATATATATATAAAGATATTTTATATATATATATATATCTATATATTTATATATATTTATGGTTTTCATATACACCTTCAGGCAATGACTAGAGAGGATTCTTTACAGAATCAAGTTTCTTGTGGTTCTCTTCATTTACAGGTAAACTTAGTTTCTGGATAATTAAACCACAGAAAAACTCAAGGCAACTTTTCTTGCCTTGTTCATAAAGTACAAAACTGGCACAGAGGACAACCTTTTTTTTTGTTTTTTTGTTTGTTTGTTTGTTTTTATACACAGTAAAAATGCAATAAAATTAAATTACATACAGAGGAGACAAAAGTTCTGTAAACCTTTCCCCTTTACAGCAAAGCTCAAATAAAATCAGTATAAAACACACCGAAAAAAAAAAAAAAAAAGAAAAAACCCACCAAGCCCACTCACCCACCCACCCTTTAAAAAAAAATGTGCTGTAGTCTGTACGACTTTTTCTGCTTTTCTTCTTTATTTCTCAAAGGAGATGTTGGCTCTGCGTGGAGTCGCAATCTTATAATGCGAAAAGAGCGGCGGGAGCCGCTGAAGCTGGAGAAAGCGTCCGACTGAACATCGGCAGAAGGCAACAAACAGCAGCACAAAAACAGCAGAAGAAGAAGAAACTTAATGAACAGGAGAAAGTTTGTTTCCTCTGAGCTGAAGTCGTCCATAGCAGAGAAAAAAAAGGGGGGGAGGGAATTCAAGATATGGCGGTGGTCAGTTGATGATGTCATGAAGAGGGCTGGCCTTTAATAGACAGTTTGGTAACAATGGCAATGGTGGCTTCCACTGTCCTGTACAGCATGTCCAGCGTGTCAGGTGGGGGGCCAACGCTCTGGAACATCTGTGAGGAGGAGGAGTGGCTGCCACAGCCATCTGGACCCTCCCCCACCAGCCCTGATGGGAAAGCAGCATCCTCTGAAAGGGGTGGGGCCGGGCTGCTGCTGGTCTTAGAGCTCATCTCCTTCTCTTCCTTCACCTCCTCTGAGCAGGTAGACACGGCCTCATCCCTTCTCCCCTCCCGTTGATCTCCCACCTCGTCGGTCTCCTCGCGTGGCACCACATGTTGCTGCAGCTCAGGCTCCTCCCCCTGGACAAACCCCTCTCCCGTCTCCTGCAGCAGGGAGGAGGAGGAGGAGGAAAAGGAGGAGGATGACGACGAAGAGGCCTCCATCTTTTCCTCTTTGGGAGAGGAGTCCAGATTTCTAGAGGAGGTGGGCATGGGATCAGGAGAGGGCGGGTCCTGCTCAGTGCCTGGGTCGATCAGTGATGAGGAATCTCGTGTTTCCGTGTCTGAGGTGCTTGTGGGTGTTAGCGCCTCCTGTTGGTCAGGCTTTGGATCACTGCAGGGCGGAAGAGTTGAAGAGGAGGTGGAGGCAGCGTAGAGCTGGGCTCCTCCATCTCCGGCTCTGTCGTCATCACCGCTCACCCTCCGCCGCTTCACCGGGGTCGCCCCTTCATCCTCAGCTGACAACAAACACAGACTGTTACTGAAAGGAGCCACTGAGAAAATCACAAAGTCTACTTTGTTGAGTCATACTCCAGATGATTCTGCCTAAATGGTCAACCCAAAGAAATGTGTTCAAGGTTGTGTTTTGGTTTAGTGATTGGATGGCATGTTATACCTTTGCATTTGTGGTCTTTGGCCTCCAGCTCTAGAGTGCTGCGTTGCTGCAGACAAGCACGACAGCAGCTCAGAAGCTCCTGCAGGGCTGGGAGGAAAGCTGGGTCAATGGCCTGAGAAGGCTGCACAGACAACAGCAACATCAATGCCCTCAGGTCCTGACAAAGAGAAGAGAGATCAAACAATGAGAAAACAGTGGCACAACGTATCAGGAGGACTGTTCTACGAGTGTGTGCATGCATGCATACAGCATTGAGCAGGCTGCTGGTCTTGTTAAGCTCCAGGCGATGAGCTGCCAGTTCAGGCTGCAGACTGCTCCGTTCACTCAGCAGGTTTGTCACCAAAACACCAATGAGGTTGGAGCAGCTGGGACCAGACAAAACCTGGACCTACACATACACACATTTTTATTCTCTATTTAATTACAAATGCAACATCATTTGGACAATCAGTACAAACTGGGTACAACCTTGATCAAATGTAGTGACTAATTTGATTTTGACAAGAAAAGCTGAAACTTTTTATACCTTGTGCAAAAAGCAGTTAAGGAAGGTGTAGGCCACATTGTTGTTCAGAAAGGTCCTCTCGTCCATTAGGATACATTTAATGTACTCGCTGAAGGCTGGGTCTTCACAGAGCAGCTTCACACACGTTTTAGCCATAACAGACTGAAAGAAGAGCGAGATGAGAAGGATTTACCATTGTGCTGCGTCCATATCCAAAGAGCCCGAGTCTATTAACAAGGCCTGACCTTAAAAATGGTTAAAATGAGTGAAATCAGAGGAATGCAGCTGTACCTGTGACTGACAGAGCTCTGTCCACAGTTTGGGGAAAAGCGCAAGATGGAGGGGAAGTCCTTCATACGCTATCAACACACCTGAGAGGGAGGCAGAGCATTAACATGGAAACATCTATGTTTCTGTGCAAATTCATGTTTGCTTGCAGACAATTCACGGTTTGATCAGTATGCTGTAATGATAATACTGGAAATTCAAATACGTACTTAGCTTGACGAGTGTATCTGTGAATTTCTCACAGTTGATGGCAACGCGACACAGCAAGTGAATGAACTTATGGTAGGACAGGAAATAATCCAGCAGCATTCGATCGTACACCTCATCTTTACCCTGAGATAGACACAAACAAATATTACTACCAACACCAAGCCTCTGCAGGTACTGAAGGTTTTCTGTTGAGGTTTCTTTTATTGCTGACACAAAACGATTTGGAGCAGGAACAGATAACCGCACCTTGCTGCTCTCCACCAGTGAAGGCAGCAGACACATGTTCAGCTCCGGTCTTGGAGGTCGGATGTTGTTTTTGGCTCCCATAAGTTTGAGGTTCTCTCTGCATGGCAGGTAAGGACCAAACGACACTGCAGGGACAATTAAAAGTCAGTGAAAAGGAAGCCAGATTTTTAATTTAATCTGAAAGAGTTTAAGTAAAGATGAACCAGAGATTTTTAAAAGTCAAAAACACTGAAGGTTTTACTTAAGCTTTTATAATCCAAAAGGTTTTTAACTTGAAGAACATCAAACAGTATATTTGTCAAATATGTACTGTTCAAACGGTGGATGATTACTAGAGGTGGGAATCACCATGCATCCCACGATACGATATTATTGCAATTTTTTAAAATATTTTGCGATATTCAGATTCTGTACATAAAGGTAAACTTTATCAATATTCATTTTATCTAATATCAAAGTCTCACACTCAGTCTTTCTCTCATTTCAGTTTTATTGTTGACAAACTGAACGGTTTGTATTACAGTCTAGTCCAACTTAACTGAATCAACCATCTGGTACAATTATAGCTATTCTGAACTATGCAGTTTATGAAAACTATGCAGCCCCTTCAGCAACTGAAGAATTTGAAAGTAAATTAAAACAAAATATAATTTTACATTAAATAAAAAAGTTTTAAACTTAATTAAAATAAAACATGTCTTAAATTAAAATAAGTAAACTGTCATGTTTATTGCTGCCAAAAAACAAGTTAAACACATTTGGACAGTGAAGGGATGTCAGGATTCTTGCTCAGAAAAAGGATCAACATGCTCTGAAGTCAGAGCACAAAAACTTTTTTGTAACAAAATATCGATTTCTGCTGTCCCTGTATCGATACATTATTAGCAAACAAAATATCACGATACTACACAGTATCGATTTTTCCCCCCACCCCTAATGATTATCATTAAAATGGCCCAAGTTTCAAACACAGAGACAAATGTTCATGTAAGTAATCTCTGTTCTACTCTTTGGTTACCGTTTGATGTCACTGTGAGACAACAGGCCTCATATACTGATGTTTACCATTATTGTTTTGTTGTTACCACGGTGCGTATGCTAGTAAATCAAAATTGGAAAAAAGAAAAGAAAATACAGAAAAAGGTTTGGAAACAAAGCTGATATGAAAATGACCAACAGTCAAAAAGAAAAAGAACAGTGGCTGAGAAGAGGTATCAGAACTGTTAGTGACCTATTTGAAGGGGGTGTTTTCATGTCATATGAGGATATTAAAATAAGTTTTGTTTAGAGGGTAACAGTCATTTCTGGAAATATTTGCAAATAAGAAACTGTTTAAAAGGAGGAGTTAGAATAACATGTGAAAGTAACCCGATAGAGAATTTTATGCTACTATTCCCATTTCTGTGCACAGCTGCGAAATGGTATAATATTTGCCCATGGATTAAAAATAATATAATAAGAGCCTGAAAAAAGCATGGGAAAGGGATCTAGGGCGTACAATGGATGAAGGTACATGGGATTCTATATTGTTGAACAATGGATTATACATTAGGGAAGCCAGGGGGAAATTTGTTCAATACAAAATTCTTAACAGATACTATTATACTCCTTCAAGGCTGTATAGAATGGGGATTGGTAGAGATGACTTGTGTTGGAAATGCCAACAAGCCAAAGGTACTCTGATACATGCCCTCTGGGAATGCCCGCTGGTTTTTCCAGTTTGGAACACTGTGCTGAATTATTTGCAGGGGTGGACACTTTGTAACCTACCCAGATCACCTAAATTATGTCTACTAGGAGACAAAGGAGAGGTGCCGCAATTAAATAAACACCAGTTTAGAGTGTTAAGTACTGCATTGGTAACATGTGCTCGTGTCATTTTGGAACACTGGAAGGACTCCCATACTCCAACGCTTAAAATGTGGAAAGACAGAATGATTGGGAATGTTGCGTGCGAAAAGATGCTGGGAAAAATACATCATGTGACAGAAGCTGCGCTGGGACAGTGGGACAATTTTTGCACCTACATGTCTACCTGACTTGGACATTTGAGCTTAATACAACACATGTTAAAACCTCACTGTTTTTGTTTTGTTTTGTTTTTTTATTTTATTTATTTATTGGTTTGTTTTTGTTTGTTTGCTTCTTGCTTTTGGTTGCGGCATCTTTGTATTTGCTGTTATAAAATGCAAAATCTAATAAATACTTGAATTATAAAAAAGGAAGAAAAAGAAAAAGAACATTCCAAGGAGAAGCTGTGACATCTAGCAATGAACATGCAAAGCTACTATGTTCTTGGGGATCCATTTTAAGCTATAAAACAAGAATGCAAACCAAAAGAGGACAATCAACATGAATAATGAGGAGAAGACTTACTGGGGATATTGCTGTGGTGGTATGTGCAGTGGTTGTGTTGTAAGAAGGGGACTAGAGTGTGCAGGAAGTCATGTGGACTCAGCAGAACGAGTTCCTTCAGCACATCTGCAACAAGAACATCACGTTACAGTACACTTTCTAAACTTCCAATTATTTCTACATCTGACCCGTTACGTTTTTAGAGAGACGCAGATATGTATGCTGCTAGCCAAATTCTACTCTGTCTCAGCTGGAACAAAGGATTTCTGTTTTCTAGAGTTTGGCTACAATAGTTGCAAAAAATGTACACACAATCACACAGGGTCAAAAGTGTTCATAATATTCAATTCAATTTGATCATTGGTCTTTAAATTGTAAGGCAGAAACCCTTCAAAAGTCAGACAATGCCCTGTGAACAAGCACTTAGTGAAGATTAAGAAGGAGCACAGTAGTCTTTCCTTCCCACACTGAGTTCTTTGGACTTTCCCATTGTTCTGAGCATTGGTGAGTCCAATGAATGCTGTCAAACAAATGTTTCTCATCCTGGCAAAGACAAACTACCAGTTGTAGTCAATCACAATCACTAATGAGATCACAGGACTTGGCTTCATCAAGTTAACACATTGTAGGAACTAGAGATGGCACGATGCCACTTTTTTATGTCCGATACCGATATCATAAATTTGGATATCTGCCGATACCGATATGAATCAGATATAGTGTGTTTTTTATCAATAAAACTGTTTTTTTTATATCTTGCTGCTTTTTGTATAAGTTTATACTCAAGTTTAAATAAATAACAACACTAAAGCTATTCTGTTATACCTGTATGTAAAAAATACACTGCACCCAAAATATTTCATAGTTCAGCAACACTGATCAATCTAATAAACTTAAACCTGCTCCATCCTCCCTATTCTGGTATTTTAAAGAGTACTTAGCAGAAATATTAAGCAACCTAACTAATAGGGTTGCAAACTCCCAAAAAAAAAATAAAAATAGGGAACCACCCTCCTCCTCATGATGCTTAATCAACGTAATCAACTTTCATTCGATGCAGTGTGGAAAAAATGCACAAAAATAAATTATTTTTCAAGAATAATTAAATAGATTCAACATCTTTCTTCAACAGAATTGAGACTGCACAGATGGTATCTTCCCAAAGGAAAAAGTACTATAGCTTACTAGGGTATATTAGACTTAACAGTTACTATATACAGTAATGGACTTCTATATATTTTACATCAGATTAAAACTTTGGGTGTAAGATTCAGATAATTATTTATTAAAAATTTGACATTTTAAATGAGAATAAGAAAGAAAAGTATGTCTTTGTGCCCCCTTTTCCCTGTTCATGCCCTATCGGCCCCCCTGGCTAAACTTTGCTAGATCCGCCCCTGCACAGTTACCAGCCGTCAGCTGCGTAGAAAAAGATCCTGGTGTAGAAAGTAATAATAAATAAATTCTAACAACAGCTTATCAAGCTTAAACGTGCTGCTGTTGTTCAGCCGCTGGTTTCCTCTTTCTGGTGAGAAGTGAGCCAAAAACTAAGAAGAGAGACAGACTCGCGACAGAAAAGCCGATCAGCTGATCATTAATCAGTTTCACGATTGAAGTAGCAGCAAGAAGAGGCAGTCGCTCCATATATCGGTTGTTAAGCTTAATGTGGGAATGCTTTACAGACATTCAGAGATGAACTTACACACTTGCTTTACTTCTCTCTGGGAAAACTTCCTCGGAGATGAAATGCTGGTTTGGTAGCTAGGCTACAAATACACACAGCTGCTCTATCACGTGACGCATACTGCTGCGACGTGCTACAGTTATGAGCCGAGTTACGCCGTGACGCAAGTTTTGTGAGGTGCTTTTTTTATATTTAATGGATCGGATTACATTTTTTATTTCTCTCCGATATCCGATCCAGTAATTTACGTCAGTATCGGACCGATACCGATACGTAATATTGGATCGGTCCATCTCTAGTAGGAACAGTTCAAATAAATGTTTAAAAGCCCCAAATTACCGCGACATAAATGTCCATAATAAGTGTATATAAACATCTGACCTAACTTAATATACTTGAATGTTAGCTGGTGGGTTATCAAAGGTGAGTGTTACCCAAGCAGGCGTTGCGGAGCTCAGGTGGGCTATAAGAGTTCAGCAGAGTGAGAAGCTTGTGGGCAAAGTCGATCCTCTCCTGCCACTGGATCAGAGCCTGTTTCACATCTGGGTAACAGGAGAGAGAGAAAACAAAAGATCAGCACAGATATGAGAACACACATCTGCAGATATTTTACTCTAACACAACCCTTTGTAACCAATGGAGTTGGTACACTGTACCAGAGCTGCTGCTTGGATGTTCAGAGAGTCAGATTCAGGGACATTTCATGTTCACTGGTTAAAGTTGGTGTGTCATAATTTCTAAACACAAGAAAATTGTCATTTTATAGGAGCTAAAAATACAAAGTGGCTGAAGTTAAAGCTATCCAGAGATCAGCTGTAAGCTAGCAGCCCCGGCATGAGCAAAGGAAGAAAAGACAAAAACAACAAAAAACCAAAGCAGACTATTAAAACGGTGAAGTCTGGTGAAATGATGCAAGTATTTAACATTTGTATTTACTATATGAATCTGTAGCTGTCAAATAAAGGAGGATGTACAGCAACTCATTTTTTTCCAGTATCAGAGCACTTTTGTTTCACTTGTATCTACTTGTTGAGTAGATACTAAAGTCACGGCTCAGTTTTGTTATGAAAACAATATTTCACATTTGCAGCAGTAACTGCCCAAGAAAAGTGCAATCATTGCATCTCCAAATATGTTTTAGGCATTCGTTGTTTTTCTGACATCGTTGTATTATACTCAGTTGTACATAGCATTTGTATTTTATTTTATTCTATTCTATTGTGTACAGTTTATTCTTATCCTATTCCAGTGTTTTTCTAATTTTTGCTATGTAACTTTGCACTGTCCACTTTCTGCTTTAACAAAACAAATTTCCCACCAATAAAGGTTATCTCATCTCATCTTCCCTAAGGTCACATTTTTTGCACATTCATTTACTTCATGCCAAACAGATCAACTCTTCTGGAGTGTAATGCTGTCCTGGGGTTGAATGTCTTCGCATGATGCATATGAGGTTTGTCAAGATCAAACACTCAGTGGTCATCTCCTTTTTAATGCCAAAAATCAAAGTAGTGATCGCATCATCCAACTAACCACACCTCTTTATGAACAACACAGCAACTGCACAATGAATTAGTAACTATTAATAAGACTAAAAAACTACCGGATCCAAAGTGACACTCCTGTACGAGTCAGTGTAGCTCACTGCTGCACCATTTCAAATCTGGCAAAAATAACCACAAACAGCTTCTAGCTTTGCATACGTACCATCAAGTGAAAACTGGAATTCACCTGCAGAGCCTAACTTTTTGTTAACATGTTGCATTAACTACAGTTTCATTTTACTTTTACAGCGCCACATCACAACAGCAGTGGCCTCAAGGGCCTCGATATTGTAAAGATCCTGGAATTATAGAGAAAACGCCCAACAATCACATAACGTTCTTTGAGCAAGCACCTGGTGCCAGTGGGACGGACAAACTATTAGTTTCAACTGTTTAACCTGTGTTACTATTACATGTGTTCGCCCTGTTACACAGTAGGGGACGGTGCACACCTTTGCGCTGCAGGTACGGCCTGGTGGCTTTGAGGACAGAAAGAAAGATGGAGAGCAGCTCCACCAAGTCTCCAGTGACGTGGCATGCTGTCGCCTCATGGTACATCATGTGCAGAGTGTTGAAGGACTGCAGGGAACAAACAAACAGTACATATTAGATTTGGAAGGGTTAAAAAAATGTAGTAAACAATGAAATGCAAATTTTATTTTCATGTACATATACATATTTTAAATACACTTGTAGTATACTATATTTAATTTGATCTTTTTACATCCAGATTTTAATGATTCCCTGTTTTAAATATAATGCCAAAAAAGGCAGATGATGCATGAAAATTAATTGGATTATGGCAACATAGAAAGATGAGACGATAGCTTAATTAAGAATTATTTTTGTAATATTTAGGAGACCTGATTGTACCTCAGTCATTAGGATAAGTCCTCTGTTGAAGACTACCAACAGTCGGTCCTCATCATTCTCCAGCAGAACTCTGAAGGCACTGAGAGGAACAGCACAGAGAAAGTAAAGTCAGTAAACTTTCCAAACTCTGATACAAAATGAACAACAGTTTCTGTGACAAACATCTTCACCAGGTTACAAAAACAAGCTTCACAAGACCTTCAGTGATAAAAGTGTGTGTGTGTTCTTACCTGATAAGTGTGGTCCAACAGGAGCGCCCATCCAGACAGCGGAGGTAGCAGCTAATAGTGGTCTTCTTAAATTGTTTAATGTCCTCCACTTCTTCTTCCCTCATCTCAGCTCGCTGCGCCACAAACAGCTGCATCAAATTGAACAGTTCCTCCACTGCCTGCAGGGAGAAGCACATCAGATGATTTTCACATTATCACAAATAAACATAACCAAGGCAAAATCTTTAACAATTAAAGACTTCCTTTATGTTTTGCTTTTAGGTGGGGAATTTTCAAAGTGCTATGGACAATAAAGTCACATCACTGCTAGAAGTCTGACTGTCCTCTCACCCCTGGATACTGGCTGGCATGTGGAGTCAAGTTCTTGAAGGCCCATTGGATGTTTTGGTGTGATGCTAGTTGGCGGGTGAAAGCAGTCGACTGCTCGCAGCACATGCGCAGGATGCCGTAGTAGGCAGGGAGCATGCCGCGGTTGAATAGCACCACCTCCTGGTCATCGTGGTCAGCCAAGATATAGTTGAAGGCAATGTTTTTGGTCACCACAGGGTTCTGCACCACTAGCCGGACGTTCTCCGGACAATCCACACAAACGTTGTACCAGAAGGACAGCAGTGCCTGCTTATTGTGGTTGGTTGCAATGGCGGGCTCTGACAGTTTCGGCTGAAAACATGAAAGAAAAACAAAAAAGTTCTAAATTCTGCACGTAAGACTCGGGCACGCACACTGAAGTGTACAATCGGTAAAAATCTTTAAAAATATCTTCACAGTCAAAGAAAGATGTACCTGGAAGAGGTTCCAGAGGTCCATGAAGTAGCCAGAGAACATGAGTTTCTCCGTCTTGGAGATGAGGCAGTAAGTCATGAAGCTGAAATACTGCACCAGTTTGGTAGTACCATGAACACTGGCATCCACATACAGCTTGGCACGTCCCAGAAGCCCTAGCAACAGGTTGTAGACCTGGTGGAGAACCACGGTGGTGTCGGGGGACAGTGGGAGCTCACGGGTCGGCAGGTGGAGGGAGCGTGTGGAGCGGAACATCTGTCGAAAGGAGTTGCTGGGGATGAGGGAGACCAGGAGGTATGCAGCAGCTAGAGGGAGAAGAGAGATTCAATTGCTATCATAAACAAAGGACTACTGTCGCTGCAGTGGTACCTCATGTTAATTTAAACATGTTTTTAAAGGTGGTCTTTTCATTATTGACAGAATGCTCTGCTCTTATTAAACAGGCTTGAGTTTTTTTGGACTTGCTATTGACACCCTTTTCTCAACGAGAAGTCTGGGCTCGGGAGAGTCCGAGTGCCCTGGAGGGACTTTCCTTGCCGGATACACGATGGACGGGTGGCAGAACTGGAGAGTCATGTGCCTGGCGGGACTGTCGATCGAGGACGCTGAAGATATCTACCTATTCGGAACCATGATAACAGGGTTCTTGCTGATCGGAGCTGGCATGGCCCTGACTTATCGGAGAATTGAAAGAGCGGAACCGGCTGTTCAAACCCCCCCCCCAAGACTCCCGCTGGAATCGAAGCGGGCTGATAATGACTGTGTGATGACTATTCTCCCCATCCCATGCAAGGCCACCTGGATTGGCTGGAGGACTGTTTACTTAGCCTGATAGGGCGAAGGACACTGTCTCAGCTGAACTATGGACACGCACACACATACACTTACACTGATAAGCACGCACTCATCCCCCTCCCTTTCCAAACGCCTTCGATGCTTGTTTCCTGCGAGGGAACACGGCGGGTCTGTGTGCCACGCTGGAATGGTAGCGCTGTGCAGGGCGGCTGCTGTGTTCGCTTCGTATTACTCCTCACCCCCCACCCAATCCTGTGGCTTGTCATGTCTTTCACAAAGTTGTGCTGTGGACATTTGTGTGTTTTTTTGTGGAGAGGAGTTTTTTTTGTTTCCTGTTCTCGTGCTGTCCTACCATGGAAGCACAGCATGAGTAGAGGTCTCTTTTTTTCCTTCTTGTACTTTCCCGATGTTGTGTACATTCAGTGTTTACTTCTGTAACGCTACCGATCTCCGACTTGTATCCCCATGTAATGTCTGTGTTATGTGTATAAGGTCGGGGGGGGGTCCCATTCCACTGCAGGGCAACCTACATGTGGCGAATAAAGCTTTGATTGATTGATTGATTGATTGATTGAATGGTCTCATAGTTTGCAGATATTTTTTATGGTCATCTCAGACATCACTCTGGTAGTCAATACAGAAGCCCAATCAGAAGAAATTTAGCTTAAAGGGAGCTAAAAACGCTCATTTTGCCAATGGATGAACTTAGTGCTGCAGCAACAGCCACTGTAAGACTAATGAGGAAATGTGAATCATGCAAATCTCTTTGAATAAGCTTCTTTAAAATCAGGGAAACCAGCAGTCTATGAACAGATTTATTTTGAAATTTATTTAACCATCATATTTAATCTTGAGATTCTTTTCTGTGAGAGCCCTGGCTATTTTACGAAGCAGGTTACACTATTAATAAAGTTCTATTTACATTAACAATAAAGGAAGAATGTATATCTATACAGTCAAAGTAAAAATTAGGTTGTGTACACTAAAGGGCTGTTTAGTTTAATAATTAGCATTTTTTTTTAAAAACTTAACGTTATATTTGTTTTGACTTCTAAAGTTCTCAGTTTTCAGAATTTAATCCACCTTAAACACTGGCACAATGTATTTTCATTTGTAGTTGGTTTAACTCCCTGTTGAGTGTTTGTTAAAAAACAAAACAAAACATGAAACTAAATACAATGAGACAATGCAGAGGCCCTTACAGGTGCGGACTCGGGGATAGTTGTGTGCCAGCAGGAAGCGTTCGACCCAGTTCTCCATGTTCTGCAGCACCCAGCTGTGGGCCAGTTTGTTCCTGGGAGTCTGCACAGCCAGCCAGTCCAGACATTGGGATGGATTGTACTCAATCACCTGACAGGAGGCACACAGATGAGACAGCATATATTTAATAAAGACTTTATGAGCAGTATATTCATTTTAAAATGGCAATCCTAAATACTGACCTAATTTTTTCTGTTTGGTTTTATTGACTTTTGATCCTGCATATGGTGCAAGTTTACTTTATTGATAAATAAGATGTAAACCAGTTGCAACTACATGTATGGATCTCATTCCATTCATCCATCTTTCACCACTTATCTAGGGCTGGGTCACAAGGGCAGTAGCCCAAGCAAAGAAACCCAGAAGCCCGTGTTCAAAGTCACATCTTCCAGCTCATCCAGGGGAACGCTCTCCAGGACGCCCTGGGCCTACACCTCAGGACCTTATCCTGGTAGGACATGCCCAAACCACCTCACCTGGGTCCTTTCAATGTGGAAAAATTGTAACTCTATTCTGAGTGCCTTGCAAATGACTGAATTTCTCACCCCTCCTTGAGGGAAAACACAGCCACTCTTTGGAGAGAATTAATTTCTGCTGCTTGTATCTGCAATCTCATTCATTTGGTCGTTATACAACACTCATGACCATACGTGGGGGTGGGGACATAGATCAGCCGATAAATCGTCAGTCAGTCAATCTCCTGCTATACTCTACTCTCACTCGTGAACCAGAAACACTTAAATTCCTCTACTTAGTGCAGCAACTTGTCCCTGAGCCAGAGTGGGCATTCCACCCATATCCAGCTGAGAACCATTGCCTCAATCTGCTATGAAACGCTTGGTGCAAGGTGGAAGCCACAACCTGATGAAGCCAACAGAACCACGTCATCTGCAAAAAGCAGAGATGCGATTCCGCCATCTGGCTACGCCCAGAAATTAGGAGCAAAGGGCAGCCCGAGCAAAATCCCACACCCACTGAAAAGTACGAGTTATTGCCAGTAATGCAGACCAAGCTCTCGCTGCACTCGTACAGGGATCTAATAGCTCCTAAATATGAGCCAGACACCCACTATTCTTGAAGGACAGAATCACCTGAGGGACGAGGTTCAAGTCTACAAAGCACGTGTAAACTGGAAGAGCAAACTCCCACATGACCCAGGTACATCTTCCTTTGACTGTATTTGACAGGATAAAGAGTTGGTCCAGCGTTCCATGTCCATACATCCATGCATGGAATTATGGTTAAAAAAACCAAATCACTAAAATAGTTATTTGGGGTTATAACAAAGCCAGAAACAGAAATTTTCTAAGCAACCTTAAATGTTGAAATGAACGTTGGAAGCAACTATTGAACTATAAACAAAGGAAACCATATTTTTATGCAGTATAGTTTTGTCCAGTCTAAAAGGATCAAATTTTGGCACAGCACCAAAATTATAACTACCGTAATTGTCGGGCTATAAGCCGCTACTTTTTGCACAAGCTTTGAACCCTGCGGCTTTTAGTCAGGTGCGGCTTTTCTA